ACGCAACGTTATTTTGAACGAACGGCACTATGGCAGCCACTATAGTCTTAGAACACAAATTCGGAAGAGTTACGAGGTGGGAATGACTCCCAGCCTCTACAAACCCCAAGATTCGAGATACAGTGTTGTGGAACAGTGCCACATTGTTCCCAAACATGAAGGGTCTCGAAACTACCCTCCACAAGGGCCTACACCAAGAGAAATGTTACAGTACACAAAGTAATGTAAATATTCTCAATATGTGTATCCTTTTTGCGGGCTTCGAGATCACTTGAACCTTGAAACCAAGGCTCTGGTTTTTCATCATAAACTCAACCTTGAGTTCATGATGGGTTTGCTGCAAACACCTGCGACACGCCGAACGTTCCACACATGACAAAATAGAAACCGCGCACGAGACATTCCACAAATTAGAAACCGCGTACGGGACACAAACGACTGCGTGACACGCGACTAGCAATAACTTGCTTTTGACTCGATACACACATATTCGACATCTTGATTCATCGTTCACACATTATCATAAGCATGAAAATATATTTTTACTCATACCCTCATACCATTCCATGCACCCATGCACGCACGCAACCGGACAACAAGCCGAGTGCAAACCGTAGGGTTGCACCATAAAAATCATGGGTACAACCACGTGGCTATATATAAGCACAATACAAAACAGATAACCAGGATGTTCCAGCAATGTTCCATGCATCGAGAATCGTCAGGACGTGACCTTTCCAAATTTTGTAGAAGAAATTCGGTCCAAATCACATGAAGGCGAAGTCATGCGGCAAAACCTAAATTCAAGAGAATTCGGTATACGCAACCTGATTCAATGCTATAACTATAATAAATATAATTAAGCAACAAATCAAGGAATTAATTTAGAGCGAGTTCGGGATAGAACAGATGACGTACTCTCACACATCCCCCCCTGAAAGATGGGTGGCATGAGAATCACCCTGCTTGACAAGATTATCCTGGAGCGAGCGGTGTGTGTTGTCTATGTCAGAATGTTATTGTTCTCTAGCCTGCAGTGGGGTACTCTATAGCGAGTACAACCCCTTAGGGTTTCCTATAAGTATCCTGCTGCTTTCTAGTGAACCCCCTCTTCTTCATTCTAAACTCACTCTTCTTCATTCTAAACTTTCCTACTCCTAATTTTGTCATGCTATCAGAGCAGGTCGATCCCCTTGGGTCGATCCTATGGGTGGGCTCACCACCTCACTGCTTCCGCTGCTACTGCTACTCTCTGTGTTGCACGCCCCGTGGCGTGCAACGGATTTTTCATCCCGCCGCGCGCTCGGAGTGTGCGGCGTTTTTCTGCCCGCCGTGCGCCCCGAGGCGCGCGGCGGTTTTCTGCCCGCCGTGCGCCCCGAGGCGCGCGGCGGTTCTCTGCCCGCTGTGCGCCCCGAGGCGCGCGGTGGGTTTCTGCCCCGTCACGCAGCGTGTCGCTCCTGGGAGGCGCTGCGACGGGCGACGGGGACCCGCGTGTCGCCCCCCGTCGCCCGTCGTGGCCTGCGCGCGGCCCGTACAGGCCCGCGCGCGGCTCGGGCCGCCTGCGCGCGGTTCGGGCGGCTGTGCCAGGCCCGTGGGCGGCCCGTTCTTCGCTGCCCCTGCGCTGCCCGCTGTCCCCCGTGCCTCTGATGGCGCCCCACCCCTCCTTCTGCCCGTTCTCCTGGATTAGGGTTTGGGGGTGGGGGGTATGGGGGTGCAGCTTCTGTGTGCCGTCCCCTGCTCCTCCTCCACCTCCGTCTCCCAGTGCTGCAGCTGCCGCTGAGGGGGGTGGACCTGTTGGAGCCGTCGGAGTGGTAATAAGGGGGGTGAAGGGGGAGTGGAGCTAGGGGTGAAGCAGGGGGTGTGTGGTAGGGGGAGTGGGTGTCAGAACATATAGCTTACTTGTTTCTGTAGGCTATAGTGGGGTATCCCATAGGGGGTACAACCCAATTAGGGTTTTCTATTCGTACCCACTTCATTTCATAGTCATTCATTCCCGTTCATTCAGTTTCACATGGTATAGAGCGGGTCCCTTCTAAGGACCGTTTTTTTTGGGCCCACCCACGATCTTTTTTTCCTGCCCGGAGCGCGCCCTATTCTCATCGAGGCGCGCTCCCCCTAGTGCGCGTCGCGCTGCCCTTGTGGCGCCCCGAGAGTCGCGCGCGCGACTCATTTTTTTTTCGCGCGCGCGGCCCGGGCCCCACTTCGCGCGGCCCTTACAGCCGCGCCGCGCCGCCCTCTCGGCTCTGCCGCGCCGCGCCGCCCTCAAGACGGCCGCGCGGCCTCTTCGTCGCTGCGGCAGGCCCCCCCCCCCGCTGCACCTCTGTCGGCCCCGCCGCCGCCTTACCTGACGGCCGCCGCCTCACCTGACGGCCCGCCGCCTCGCCCTCTGACCCGCCACCTCACCAGACGGCCCTGCCGCCTCACCTGACGGCCCACCGTCTCACCTGCTGGCCCGCCACCTTACCTGACGGCCCCGCCGCCTCACCTGACGGCCCGCCGCCACCTTACCTGACGGCCCCGCCGCCTCACCTGACGGCCCGCCGCCTCACCTACTGGCCCGCCACCTGACCTGACGGCCCCGCCACCTCACCTGACGGCCCGCCGCCTGACCTGCTGGCCCGCCACCTCACTGACGGCCCGCCGCCTCCCCCGCTGGCCCGCCACCTGATCTGACGGCCCCGCCGCCTCACCTGACGGCTCGCCGCCTCACCTGCTGGCCCGCCACCTGCCCTGTCCCGGCCCCGCCGCTGCACCCTGACGGCCTTGCCGTCCCTTGTCCCGGCCCCGCCACTGCACTGCAGCCGAGCCGCCCAGCAGCAGCCGGACCGCCCAGCAGCAGCCGAGCCGCTCAGCAGCAGCTGAGCCGCCCAGCAGCAGCCGAGCCGCCCAGCAGCAGCCGAGCCGCCCAGCAGCAGCCGAGCCGCCCGATACCCGAGCCGCCCGAGCCGCCCGAGCCGCCCGAGCCGCCCGAGCCGCCCCACCAGCCCGAGCCGCCTGCTGCTGTCCTACCCGACTCTCCTAGCCCGGTGAGACTTTCAGCTGCTGCCATGGCCACCCCCAATGTTCTTACTTTTGACGCTGAGGGGAGGGCCATTGACTTTGCCGTCTGGATTGAAGACCTGCAGCTGTACTTACTGTGTGATGCGATAGATGAGGTCTCTCTCTTTGACTTTGTCTCTGGCGCTGTCCCTGCCCCGCCTGCTGATGCTGACTCTGCTGCTCGCTCCAAGTGGGCGACCCGCGATGCTGCTGCACGTCTTGCTGTGCGTCGCCACCTCCCTTCCTCTGAGCGTGCCCACTTTAGTCAGTGCAAGACCGCTCAGGCCTTGTACGACGCTGTAGTTGCACGCTACTCCTCCCCTTCCTCCGCTACCCTTAGCCGCCTCATGCTACCGTTTCTCTTCCCTGACCTCGCTTCCTTTCCCACTGTTGCTGACCTAGTTACCCACCTCCGCGCTAGTGACACCCGCTACCGTGCTGCCCTTCCTGCTGAGTTCCGCGCTGCGAACCCTCCTCCCATGTACATCACTCTCTACTTTCTCGTCACCCGTCTCCCTGAGTCCCTTCGTGTCGTTAGGGACCAGTTTCTCTCTGTCTGTCCCACCACTCTCACTGTCGACCTCCTTGAGGAGTCCCTGCTAGCGGCTGAGAAGAGTATTGTCGCTGTAGGGGCCTCTCGGGGTGACCCTCGCACCCCCATCTTTGAGGGGTGTGGTCCTTCCCCCCTGCTGCCCTCTGTCGCCTCTGCCGCTGCGGCCGACCTCGCTGGTTTTGAGTCGGTCGGCGCGGCGTCTGCCCCCAGCGGCAGACGCCGCTCTGGCAAGGGCAAGGGGGGCAAGGGGGCGGGTGGAGCTCGAGGGGGCGGTGGAGGAGGCGGTGGGGGTGGAGGGGGGAGTGGGGGTGGCGGTGGGGGTGGTGGCGGGAGTGGAGGTACTAGTGGCGGCGGTGGAGGCGGAGGTGGCGGCGGAGGTGGTAGCGGAGGAGGCGGTGGGAGCGGTGGGAGCGACGGTCCTGGTGGGGGAGGTGGCGGTGGAGACGGGGGTGGCGGTGGAGGCGGGGGTGGCGGTGGAGGCGGGGGTCGGAGTGGCTCGTCCCAGCGGAGCAGCTCTGGGGGTGGTCAGCGCCAGCAGCAGCAGCAGCAGCAGCAGCAGCAGCAGCAGCCGCAGCAGCAGCAGCGCTCTCGCACCGTCCCCGGCCCTCAGCAGCTCCGTGAGTGGTACTTGCAGCGTCAGCGCGGTGGTGCGCTTGGTCCCTGCCCCTACGTTCTTCGCACCGGTGACCGTGCGGGGGAGCGGTGTGGAGGCGCCCACACAGCCCGTCGCTGCTTTGGCCGCCTGACCGACGCCTGGCGTCAGCAGTTTCTGTCAGAATATATTTGCTGTCTAGCCTGCAGTGGGGTACTCTGTAATGAGTACAACCCAATTTAGGGCAATGTACTTGTATCCCAACTCTTGCTAGTCACTTCACTTCCCTTCCAATTTCTCGACTCTCACCTAACCCACTCGAACTTACCTATCTCCTAGTGTGGGCCTAGGCTACTAAGCCTAGGCCCCACACCTAATATTTTCACATGTTATCAGAGCCCGTTCTACCTTGGCCTGTGGGCCCCTATGCTTCCGCTGCAGTCCTTCTTCCTGCCGCGCGCGGAGCGCGCGGCGAAATTTTTTTTAGGATTTCGGAGTTTTTCATCCCGCCGTGCGCTCGGGGCGCGCGGCGGTTTTCCCGTCCTTCGAAGCGCCCTCGGGGGGCCTGCGCGCTGCCCTCCCCGCTGCTCGTCGCGACGCCCGTGCGGGACCCGCGCGGCGTCACCCTGCTCGTCGCGACGTCCGTGCGTGACCCGCGGGGCGTCGCCCCTGCTCGTCGCGACGTCCGTGCGGGACCCGCGCGGCGCCGCCCTACTTGTCGCGACGTCCGTGCGGGACCCGCGGGGCGTCGCCCCTGCTCGTCGCGACGTCCGTGCGGGACCCGCGGGGCGTCGCCCCTGCTCGTCGCGACGCCCCATGCGGGACCCGCGGGGCGCCGTCAGTTCCTGCAGCAGCAGCCGCCGCCGCCCTGCAGCAGCAGCCGCCGCCAGGCCTACAGCAGCAGCCGCCGCCAGGGTCTGCAGCAGCAGCCGCAGCCAGAGCCTGCTGCAGCAGCCGCCGCCAGGGTCTTCAGCAGCAGCCGCCGCCAGGGTCTGCAGCAGCAGCCGCCGCCAGAGCCTGCAGCAGCAGCCGCCGCCAGAGCCTGCAGCAGCAGCCGCCGCCAGAGTCTACAGCAGCAGCCGCCGCCAGAGTCTGCAGCAGCAGCCGCCGCCAGACCTGCAGCAGCTGCCGCCACCGACCCAGCAGCAGCAGCCGCCGCTCTATCAGCAGCAGCAGCCGCCGCCGCTCTGCCGCAGCAGCTACCGCCGCCCAGCTGCAGGTGCCGCCCCTGGACCCCAGAAGCTGCCCCTGGACCCGGTACGCCTTGTGCTGCCCGTGCCTGTGCTGCCCGTGCCTGTGCTGCCCGTGCCTGTGCTGCCCGTGCCTGTGCTGCCTGTGCCTGTTGCTGCCCGTGCCTGTTGCTGCCCGTGCCTGTGCTGCCCGTGCCTGGTGCTGCCCGTGCCTGTGCTGCCCGTGCCTGTGCTGCCTGTGCCTGTTGCTGCCCGTGCCTGTGCTGCCCGTGCCTGTGCTGCCTGTGCCTGTTGCTGCCCGTGCCTGTTGCTGCCCGTGCCTGTGCTGCCCGTGCCTGTGCTGCCCGTGCCTGTGCTGCCCGTGCCTGTGCTGCCCGTGCCTGTGCTGCCCGTGCCTGTTGCTGCCCGTGCCTGTGCTGCCCGTGCCTGGTGCTGCCCGTGCCTGTGCTGCCCGTGCCTGTGCTGCCTGTGCCTGTTGCTGCCCGTGCCTGTTGCTGCCCGTGCCTGTGCTGCCCGTGCCTGTGCTGCCCGTGCCTGTGCTGCCCGTGCCTGTGCTGCCCGTGCCTGTTGCTGCCCGTGCCTGTGCTGCCCGTGCCTGTGCTGCCCGTGCCTGTGCTGCCCGTGCCTGTTGCTGCCCGTGCCTGTGCTGCCCGTGCCTGTGCTGCCCGTGCCTGTGCTGCCCGTGCCTGTGCTACCTGTGCCTGTTGCTGCCCGTGCCTGTGCTGCCCGTGCCTGTGCTGCCCGTGCCTGTTGCTGCCCGTGCCTGTGCTGCCCGTGCCTGTGCTGCCCGTGCCTGTTGCTGCCCGTGCCTGTGCTGCCCGTGCCTGTGCTGCCCGTGCCTGTGCTGCCCGTGCCCGTGCTGCCCGTGCCTGTTGCTGCCCGTGCCTGTGCTGCCCGTGCCTGTGCTGCCCGTGCCTGTGCTGCCCGTGCCTGTGCTGCCTGTGCCTGTTGCTGCCCGTGCCTGTGCTGCCCGTGCCTGTGCTGCCCGTGCCTGTGCTGCCCGTGCCTGTGCTGCCCGTGCCTGTTGCTGCCCGTGCCTGTGCTGCCCGTGCCTGTGCTGCCCGTGCCTGTGCTGCCCGTGCCTGTGCTGCCTGTGCCTGTTGCTGCCCGTGCCTGTGCTGCCCGTGCCTGTGCTGCCCGTGCCTGTTGCTGCCCGTGCCTGTGCTGCCCGTGCCTGTTGCTGCCCGTGCCTGTGCTGCCCGTGCCTGTGCTGCCCGTGCCTGTGCTGCCCGTGCCCGTGCTGCCCGTGCCTGTTGCTGCCCGTGCCTGTGCTGCCCGTGCCTGTGCTGCCCGTGCCTGTGCTGCCCGTGCCTGTGCTGCCTGTGCTTGTTGCTGCCCGTGCCTGTGCTGCCTGTGCCTGTGCTGCCTGTGCCTGTTGCTGCCCGTGCCTGTTGCTGCCCGTGCCTGTGCTGCCCGTGCCTGTGCTGCCCGTGCCTGTGCTGCCCGTGCCTGTGCTGCCCGTGCCTGTGCTGCCCGTGCCTGTTGCTGCCCGTGCCTGTGCTGCCCGTGCCTGGTGCTGCCCGTGCCTGTGCTGCCCGTGCCTGTGCTGCCTGTGCCTGTTGCTGCCCGTGCCTGTGCTGCCCGTGCCTGTGCTGCCTGTGCCTGATGCTGCCCGTGCCTGTTGCTGCCCGTGCCTGTGCTGCCCGTGCCTGTGCTGCCCGTGCCTGTGCTGCCCGTGCCTGTGCTGCCCGTGCCTGTGCTGCCCGTGCCTGTTGCTGCCCGTGCCTGTGCTGCCCGTGCCTGGTGCTGCCCGTGCCTGTGCTGCCCGTGCCTGTGCTGCCTGTGCCTGTTGCTGCCCGTGCCTGTTGCTGCCCGTGCCTGTGCTGCCCGTGCCTGTGCTGCCCGTGCCTGTGCTGCCCGTGCCTGTGCTGCCCGTGCCTGTTGCTGCCCGTGCCTGTGCTGCCCGTGCCTGTGCTGCCCGTGCCTGTGCTGCCCGTGCCTGTTGCTGCCCGTGCCTGTGCTGCCCGTGCCTGTGCTGCCCGTGCCTGTGCTGCCCGTGCCTGTGCTACCTGTGCCTGTTGCTGCCCGTGCCTGTGCTGCCCGTGCCTGTGCTGCCCGTGCCTGTTGCTGCCCGTGCCTGTGCTGCCCGTGCCTGTGCTGCCCGTGCCTGTGCTGCCCGTGCCTGTTGCTGCCCGTGCCTGTGTTGCCCGTGCCTGTGCTGCCCGTGCCTGTGCTGCCCGTGCCTGTGCTGCCTGTGCCTGTTGCTGCCCGTGCCTGTGCTGCCCGTGCCTGTGCTGCCCGTGCCTGTTGCTGCCCGTGCCTGTGCTGCCCGTGCCTGTTGCTGCCCGTGCCTGTGCTGCCCGTGCCTGTGCTGCCCGTGCCTGTGCTGCCCGTGCCCGTGCTGCCCGTGCCTGTTGCTGCCCGTGCCTGTGCTGCCCGTGCCTGTGCTGCCCGTGCCTGTGCTGCCCGTGCCTGTGCTGCCTGTGCCTGTTGCTGCCCGTGCCTGTGCTGCCCGTGCCTGTGCTGCCCGTGCCTGTGCTGCCCGTGCCTGTTGCTGCCCGTGTCTCGTGCTCGCGCCCCCGTGCGCTCTGCTACTGTCTGCGCCCTCGTGCGCACTGTCCCCCCCCCCCCCCCGTTTGCGGGTGTGGGGGTGCTCCGTTTGTGTCGCCCCTTCCTTCTCCTCCTCTGTCGTCTCCCACTGCTGCAGCTGTCGCTGAGGGGGGTGGTTGTGTGGGAGACTGGGGTTTAGGGTTTAAGGGGGGTGCGTGGGAGTGGAGCTAGGGGTGTAGCAGCGGGTGTGTGTCAGGGGGGTGGGACTGTTTGTGGGAGGTGGAGCGGAGGCTGCCGTCTTGTAGTCCGCAGCACCTGTAGTCCGGGGCGCTGTCCTGGTAGCCCAGTGAGCCTGCTGCGCCTGTCGCCCGTGGGTCCGTTGCTCCTGCCGCTCTTCGTAGCCGCCGAGCCAGTTACTCCAGTAGTCCGGGGCGCTGTCCCGGTAGCCACTGTGCCAGCCGCTCCTGTTGCCCGTGTGTCCGCAGCTTCAGCAGTCGCCTCCCATCTCCTCTCCTCTCACTCTCCCTCCTCCTCCTCACCTGCCCATTGTGACCACCACTAGCTTTGCTGATAATTGTGCACTTTAACTATTGCTTCTTGAACTTGTGCTCAGAATGTGTGGTGACATTGTGATCCACCCTGAGCTTGTACTGCTTTGCCTGCTCTGCTGATTTCACCCCACTTTGGCTATGGGGGTGTGTCAGAATATATTTGCTGTCTAGCCTGCAGTGGGGTACTCTGTAATGAGTACAACCCAATTTAGGGCAATGTACTTGTATCCCAACTCTTGCTAGTCACTTCACTTCCCTTCCAATTTCTCGACTCTCACCTAACCCACTCGAACTTACCTATCTCCTAGTGTGGGCCTAGGCTACTAAGCCTAGGCCCCACACCTAATATTTTCACAGTTTCCGGAGGCCGCTGAGATCCCCCGCTGGGGAGAGCTGTCTAGGGCTGGAGTAGCTATTTATGATCTTGACTTTGATGCTATTCTCTCTGCTATGTATGCTGTGACTGGTAGTGATGAGGATGACTGTTACCGGTGTTTCCCGCCCGACCCGGGCATTGGTACTGCCGCGTCAGGTACTAGTGAGGCTGCAGCTCTAGGTGCCAGTGCGTCTGTGCTCTCAGGTGCTGGTGAGTCCGCCCTCTCAGGTACTATGTCGGCTTCGGCCTCTCACACCTTCACCCTTGACTCTGGAGCGTCTCGCTCCTTCTTTAGGGACCGCACCACTCTCACGCCGCTGAGTCGGCCGGTTGCGGTGTCCCTGGCTGACCCCTCTGGGGGACCTGTCCTGTCTCGCTTCTCCACTGTCCTCCCGTGTCCGGCGGCCCCCTCTGGCACCCTGACTGGTCTCTACCTCCCCTCGTTCTCGACGAACTTGGTGAGTGGTGCTGACCTCCAGGATGTAGGTGTCCACCAGTTCACCCCTGCTCGTCAGCGGGTGACCCACTGTACGGAGGCGGATACAGGTCGTCACCTGGCTACGTTTACACGTCAGCCAGGGTCGAGCCTGTACACACTGACCACTGCTTCTCCTCCAGGTGCTGCGTCTGGTAGAGTCCCTTCGTCTGGTCAGGTATTTGCTGCAGCGTCCAGGTCTGGTCCTGAGTCTGCCCCCTGTTCGTGTCGTCGTCTGTCTCACGAGACCCTACTCTGGCACCACCGCCTTGGCCACCCCTCTCTGCTTCGGCTCCGAGGCATGGCCTCGCGGGTCCTTGTGTCTGGTCTTCCCCGGTCCCTCCCTCCCCTTCCTCCGGGCCCTTGCCCTGCCTGTGTCCCCTGTGTCGAGGGGCGCCAGCGTGCTGCCCCTCACTCCTCCCAGTTTCCTCCGACAGAGGCCCCGTTGCAGACGCTTCACATGGACGTGTGGGGCCCAGCCCGCGTCCGTGGACAGGGTCAGGAGCGCTACTTCCTGCTGGTGGTTGACGACTACTCGCGTTACACCACAGTCTTCCCCTTGCGCAGCAAGGGTGAGGTCACTGAGGTGTTGATCGACTGGATCCGCGCAGCTCGTCTTCAGCTTCGGAGGAGCTTTGGCTCTGACTTCCCTGTTTTGCGTCTGCACTCGGACAGAGGCGGAGAGTTCTCCTCTGGCCTCCTGAGTGCCTACTGTCGTGTGCGAGGCATCCAGCAGACCTTCACGCTTCAGGACTCACCACAGCAGAATGGGATTGCTGAGCGCCGCATTGGCATGGTCATGGACGTCGCTCGCACGTCCATGATGCATGCGGCTGCTCCCCATTTTCTGTGGCCGTTTGCGGTCAGGTACGCTGCGCACCAGATCAACCTCCACCCCAGGGTCTCTCGACCAGAGACCTCCCCAGCCCTGCTGTGGACGGGGAAGGTTGGCGATGCGTCGGCGTTCCGGGTCTGGGGATCTCGGGCGTTTGTTCGCGACGTGTCTGCGGACAAGCTGTCCCCTCGTGCTTCTCCCTGCGTCTTCCTGGGGTTCCCCCCCGACGCCCCTGGGTGGCAGTTTTACCACCCCACCTCTCGACGTGTTCTGTCCTCCCAGGACGTCACGTTCGACGAGTCGGTGCCCTACTACCGCCTCTTCCCCTACCGCACTCCGTCCCTCCCCCCACCCCCGCTCTTCTTGGTACCAGGTCCCCCCCCGGTAGTCCCCCTCCCCCCTCACGGTCCTGCCCCTTCAGGTGTGTCCCAGGTAGACGCGGTCGAGCCTGTCGAGGTCACTAGTGACTCTGGTGCTGCTGCGGGAGCTGAACCTGAGGGTGCGGAGTCTGGGGGTGCTGGGCCTGGGGGTACTGTGCTTGGGGGTGCTGAGCCTGGAGGTGTCGAGCCTGGGGGTGCTGTGCCTGGGGGTGCTGAGCCTGGGGGTGCTGAGCCTGGGGGTGCTGAGCCTGGGGGTACTGAGCTTGGGGGTGCTGTGCCTGGGGGTGCTGAGCCTGGGGGTGCTGTGCCTGGGGGTGCTTCTTCTCGCCGAGAGCCACTCCCCCCACAGGAGCTGCGTGAGTGGTTTGCCAGGCGCTGGAGGCGTGCTGCTGGTGCTGGTGGTTCTTCGGCTGCAGAGGGTACTGCTGCCACGCGTCCTGGCGGTGCTCGTACTGTGGGTGCTGGAGCTGCTGGGTCTGTGAGTTCTCCTGGAGCTGGTCCTGCTGAGGGTGTTGGCACTGAGCCTGCGGTTGGCGGTCCGACTGACGGTGTTCCTGGTGCTGCTGCTGGAGGTTCTGGAGCTTCTGGTGGTTCTGCTGGATGTGCTGCTGGAGTGGGTGCTCCGGACGGGGCTGCTGCTGCTGTTCCTACTGTTTCTGGTGTCGCCGCGCGGCCCCGACCGTACTTCGTTCCGCTCCTGCAGCAGGTTCTTGGTCTTGCACCTCCTCCTGCTCCCTTAGAGGGTCCGCAGCCTGTTCGGTCACAGCCACAGCTACAGCCTGCCTCCCCTTTGCCTGCTCCTTCTCCCTACGCTGGTCCGACTGGAGGTCTTACTGAGCGTCGTGAGCCTGCGTCTCGTCCTGCGTCGCCTGTTCGTACTGAGCGCGCTAGTGGTCGTGGTTCGCGTCAGCGTCCTCCTCCTGTCCCTGGCACGCACCGGATGTCACTGCGTCCGTCCACTGCTCCTCTGCGTGCCCCTTTGCCTTCTCCTCCTGCTTCCTCTCTTCCTGCTCTTGCTGACCCTGAGTCGAACTCTCTTCGCGCTGCCAGTCCTACTGTCACGCGTCTCCTTGCTACTGCTGTCACTGACCCTTCCTTCGAGTCGTCTGCTGCGTCTGCCCTTGTCACTGAGCTTGTCGACTTTGCTACGCGCTGTCGTCTAGACTACGCTGCTCGTCTTGTCACTGAGTCTGAGTCCGCCTGTCCTCCGTCCGTCGGGGGTGAGTGTGCCCTTGGCACGGACGTCCTTGAGGACAGGCAGGAGGAGTTCCAGTGTCTCGCCGCTGCTTCACCTCGTCTCGCGTCTGTACTGCTAGCCCCTGAGGGAGACCCGGATGCACCAGACATCCCGACTCCGCGCTCTTACGCGGAGGCGATAGAGGGTCCCTACTCCTCTCAGTGGCAGGCAGCTATGGATGCAGAGATGGCTTCCTGGAAGTCCACAGGCACCTACGTTGACGCTGTTCCCCCTCCTGGGGCGAACATCGTCAGTGGCATGTGGATTTTCAGGGTGAAGCGGCCGCCGGGTTCTCCGCCTGTCTTCAAGGCGCGTTACGTGGCTCGTGGCTTCAGTCAGCGGCAGGGGGTTGACTACTTTCAGACCTTCTCCCCCACCCCGAAGATGACCACTCTTCGGGTTCTGCTGCACGTTGCTGCTCACCGTGACTACGAGCTGCACTCTCTTGACTTCAGCACTACTTTCTTGCAGGGCAGCCTGCACGAGGAGATCTGGCTGCGTCGCCCACCTGGCTTCACTGGGTCTTTCCCTCCTGGTACCCAGTGGAGTCTCCGGCGTCCAGTCTACGGTCTCCGCCAGGCGCCACGTGAGTGGCACGACACACTGAGGACTACGCTCGCGGCACTTGGGTTTGCTCCTTCTACTGCCGACCCGTCGCTGTTTCTGCGCACCGACACCTCTCTGCCGCCGTTCTACATCCTCGTGTACGTCGACGACTTGGTCTTTGCCACAGCTGACACTGCTGGACTCGCCTACGTGAAGTCCGAGCTGCATAAGAGACACACGTGCACTGACCTGGGTGAACTGCGCAGCTACCTTGGCTTGCAGATCACCCGGGACAGAGCACGCCGCACCATTACCCTGACTCAGTCACACATGGTGCAGCAGGTCCTTCAGCGCTTCGGCTTCACGTACTCCTCGCCTCAGGCCACTCCTCTGCCTACTCGCCACTCGCTCTCAGCTCTGCCTTCGGATGAGTCCGTAGAGTCGAGTGGCCCGTTTGCAGAGCTTGTTGGCTGCCTCATGTACCTGATGACCTGCACACGACCTGACCTCGCATACCCTCTTAGCATTCTCGCACGCTTTGTTGCTCCTGGGAGACACCGACCAGAGCACATGGCTGCAGCGAAGAGGGTGTTGCGCTACTTGTGCAGTACGTCGGGCATGGGGCTAGTGCTTGGAGGGCGCAGTCCAGTGGTCCTCACTGGGCACGCAGACGCTTCTTGGGCTGACGACCAGGCTACGCAGCGGTCGTCACAGGGTTACACCTTCAGCCTAGGTTCCGGCTCTGTCTCGTGGCGGGCTACCCGCTC